GCCTCGAAAGTCTATCTCTTATGATAACACGTAGATCTAGTCGATTTGGCAACACGAAAAGTTCACATTCTCTATTAGTAAGGTTTTCCCGTAACGGGCTACCATGCCTTGCTGGACGGCATCCACCAGGGAAAAGTAGGCCCGATGCCAAGCGCAACTTAAATTCTGAAATTTCCTATAAAAACACCAACTGCAGTTGCACAACCAACTGTATTTATCGCGTACCTGTGGAGGAAGTTGAAGCCGCCTTGGAGAGTTTCAATGCGCCTATCCAGAGCCAAGCTTCGCAGGTATTCGGCCAGCATTTCCACGTCTACATCGGCGGGCTCCATTTCCGATTGGATCCAGGTTTTGATTCCTTCTTTCACCTGCTCCCAGGTCTGAGAGGCGAACGGTGACTGTTTCGCGATTGACGCTGATGAGGATGCGTCCGCTTTCAAGCTTTCTATAACCAAAATCCCTCTTGTTTCACTGCGTGGGCTGTTTGAGAGTGATGACAGAACATACCGTTGTTTGCACAGTTCTCTGCTTTGCTTTTGCCAGCTGCATGTTGCTGATTCACGTCCAACCGGTACTCTTTCAGCAACTCGTTGCGAATGTCTTCCGGCAGCTCTTTCAACACCTCCAAGTCGATTTGCTCCCGTTTCACTTGGAATGGGCCTGCGCTGCCTTGGCCCAAAAATTGCAGCATTGTCCCCTTAGCCGATGCTTTTCCACCTGTCGACAAGCATTGCTGAAGGTGCCGGCAAGTAAAAGTCTTTGTACCTTTAGTGCCGCTCTTCGCCTTGCTCAGTCGAGGCAATGGCTTGGAACTAGTGGAGCCCTTGGGTTTTGGATCGCGATCTTTCTGGTTTGGCTGTGGAGCTGCCTGTTCCGAGCTGCAGCTCGGTTCCTTTGCGGGCTTGGCTTGCGCTTGCTTCAAGAAGTTGCTCATGGCCTGGTTGAGGGGGAAAGCGCAATTATTCGCTGCTCCAGGGGGGAGGAGCTGGTTACTTAATTACCTTGTTGGTGGGCGCATTTTTCTCCAGTTTAGTCAGTTGGATTCCCACTCCCCTCAGTTCGGCAAAGGACACGTTCAACTTATCGTAAATCGCCTTGGCTTCTTTGTAGATCACCTCAGAGGTGGAAAACACCAAATTTGCGGTGCTGCTCTTTGTGATGGCGTCGCAGACGCCATGGCCTAGGAATTTGGCAGTTTCCTGCAACATTTCCATGAAGAGTCCATTGAGTAGTCTCTGGCAGCTGACTTACAACAGGGGCGCCTTCGGCGCGCACTAAAAGCTTGAGCGTGAGCCCCCGAGCCTTCATGCCAATGTCGGACAAACGGCTAAAAACCTCCCCGGCCAGGCTTTGCAGGAAGCTGTAGCATTCCTCCCTGGTTTTGAACCGAATGCCTACAAACACGCGCAAAAATGAGCGAAAGTAGGAAAAAGTGGGAAATTTTACCGTAGTTGATTTCAGCCGACACAGACTTTCGCTCGTGGTTAAAGTCCAAGGGCCTGTTGTCCAGGCCGTGCGCTTGTTCCCAAATTCTCTCGCCCAGCTTGTTTCCCAGCTCGGACTGCACGGTTTTCAATGAGCCACTCTAAAATAAATCCATTAGCCCATTTTGCTGCTAAGACGCAAGCTGGTACCTGCAAGTCCCCACAAGTGCTACAACCAAGATTCCTGAGCTTGGCCAAAGTGGCTCTGCCCACCCCTGGAAGATCAGCCAAGGAAATCTCGGCCATATAAGCGTCCACTTGGTCCGCTTGTAGGTGATACTGTCCTGCCGGTTTGGCTTTTCTGGTGGCCAGCCGGGCCTGCAGCCTATTGGCTCCAAAACCTGTGAAAAGTCCAGTCAACCCCGCAGGTCTTCGACTTCAAAAGAGACTGACCTGTAGAGCATGGACAGCCGGTCACTTCCATTATCTCGCTCCTAATATGCGACGCCCATTCCTCCACTGTTAAGCCGCATTCGGCTAGAATCGCCTTTACATCTACGTACATCTCGTCGCAGCTCACCGCTTCTATGTCCAGAGTGTATGAGGCCACAGTGTGGTAGAGCAGGTTGGAAACTTCCTTGTAGCCCTGGAAATTGAGGAGATCAACTGGAGCCTCTCTTTGCGCTGGAAACCCAAACCTCAAAGTCATAAGGCAGGGTCTTTAGGCCTGGACACTGCTTGACCGCCTGCCCCAAAAACATTCCGTTCTTGATGCCGTACTTCCGCGCTTCGTAGCTGCAGCTGGCGATTTCGGACATCGAAGCCAAACCGTCCATCTGCTCCTTGATATCGACCACTCGGGATACTCCACCTAGAATGCTCCAAGCTCAGTTCCAACCTAGACTAGTTCACATGGCAACCTTCTGGCAGTCTTTCCTCGTAGAGGGCAAACTCCTGATCCCTGATGGCCTGTCGGGTCGGATCGGCTGAGTTAAGCACTCCGCTTCTGGCATGGGCAATTGCCACTGGCAGGCCCTTCAGCTCGGGATGCTTGCGCAGCCCTACTGAGACGAAGAAACAATCCATGTCGATGTGCATGACTATGGACGCAGGCACATTGGGGCCCGCATTTCCATGAGCTGGAAAAAAGCCGTTATTCCGCAACAACGTGAGCCTACCCGATTACCTACCGCTGCGTAAAACCAGCTTTTCCCTGCCGGGAAACTTGCCGTTAGAGCCCTCTCGCAGTTTGCTCACCAGCTGCTTGAATTCAGCCCCCAATGTCGAAATGAGATGCAAGCGGGAGTTGCTGTAAAACTCTTCGAGAAACTTCGGGTCCGACGCGGTTTTCGTCGACCGGCTGGCACTCTTTGCCCGACTACAAAAGAAGTTAAATCACATCAAGAGCCCCTTAACAAACCGCTCAACTAACGGAATTTCCTCCTCGATGAAATCAGCGTCAGGTTTTGGAAGAACGACAAAATTCAACGCAGGCTGCAGCCTGGACTGGTTGCTGTACAGCAGATAGTTGGTGTAATCCAGCAGCTTGTTCAAAGCGATGCTCTCAGTGATCCAGGCTGGTTTCACTATAGGGACGGCCCCCAAGTGCTTTATCTGAAACTTCGCCATTTAATAAGGAAAATCACCATTTAAGACCTACTTTAACGTTGGGCAAGTTGGAGGCGATTATATGGGTGGTGGACGAGGCCTGGTACAGATGGTACTCGCCCCCATGCGCCGCCATCAGGCTCTTCAGCTCGGCTGCCGAGGGGTTAGTGAATCCGTTGACAAGAATTCGAACGCCTGCGAAAATATCCGACACTTTTTCCACCTGGGCGCTGTGGAACTGGTCTAGCAGTTTGGCCTTCTTGGCCGCCATGTAGCCGCCCTTAAACGGCAATTTGGGGCTAGGGGGGCTGAATGGGGCTCGCCTTTGTACTTACCCAATCCTCAAAACCATCTTTTGGTGGTTTCTTGGGGTTCCCTTTGCCTCCGCGACCGCACATTTTGCAGGCATCAATTGAGCAGAATTTTGCTAAAGTGGGCAATTTTTAAATGTATCTCAATGTTTATAGAGGTTAGGGTAGTAACTGGAAGTCTTCTCCTTCGTTATCTTTGGCACAGTAGCAGAAAATCGCCAAATTTTTCTTTATTGTGCATAAAAAAATGTGAAAAATACCGGAACAATAATTAAAATTTTCCCAAAAATTCGTTTTCGTTCTAAATGGGAAGGTATTTTTTGTATTGATTTTATTTTTATTCGAAAGCTTGGTTTAGGATGATTCGATACTGGCAACAGTGTGCTCGATAGGCTGACGTGGTTTTACTAGCGCCATCTAATTTTGACAGCCATTGTGACAGATAACAATTTATTCCCCATTTAGCAGTCATGAGTGTTGTGAGTGATTCAAATGTGAATTTTTGAATAAAAGTCGATAAAGGTGAGTGAAACATTAATGAAATTAGGAACAGAGAAACTCGTACGTATTGCTTAAATCGATAGTCGCCCTATAAACAAGCTAGAGTTGCGTCCCATTGGAGCAGTCAATTCACATTTTTGTTCGTTTGAAAAACTCCGCACTTTGTTTCGTTTATTTTCCTGTTCGACTTTATGTTGGCCACCGTTTTGCTTGTTTTGTGCTTTCGTTGGGTCTCGCGCCAACTATTCCACTTGGTTTGCTTTGAGGCTGGGAAGCGATCGCACTAACAAAGAAAGGAAATGCTTTATGTAACCTCACAACTCATTTCCTAATTAGACTATTAATTTCTGGCCACTGTTCATCTGCCTGCCTGTTACGTCTCTAATGTATTCATTGTATTTGCATTAATTCCATGTAAGTACTCTGTACGCCAAGGCTGGGACTGACACACCATCAGTTACCCAGCACACAGCACTGGCAGGGTGCTTATCAGCGTTTTTCATTGTTTAATCATTTGCGTAATTAGTTTAAATCTGGTGCCCTTGTAAGTTCGGTATCTGGCAAGTTATTGCGATTGCCAGATTAACGTGATCATTTTTTCATTTTGTAGATTCTTAAATCGTTACTAACAATACAGTAGAGCGTATTAATTCCCCACTATGCCTGGTAAAAACCGCCAGCGTACAAAAACTAAAACCTTGCCGGATTTGGTACCACGATTGGCCAAAGACTCATTGGCACCAAAATCAAAAAGCGCAGATGAACTGCTCAATCTCACGAAAGAGCAATTAAAGGCCGAGTGCCGGAAAAGGGGCCAAAAATGTAGCGGCAATAAACAGGAACTGGTAGGATGTGATTGGATTTTGTGACTTAGAGCTTTGTTTTGTTGCTTTCGCCCCCTTAAAGCCTGCTTTGCTCCAGCAGTGTCTTAGCAGCTCTTGGGCAAAGCAGGCCATTTTCTGTAGCCTAAAGCGCTTTGTTACTGTGCAGCCCCATTTTGTGTTGTGTTGCCCTGACTATGTCTTACACTGGTAGCTCTGAGTATGCCTAGATGTAGTTGATTGATGTTGTGGACTAATTCTAGAACGCGGCTTTTTCCTTTTTTCGCCTCATTTGCCCACTTCTAAGGGGAAAGCTGCATCGTCCGGTCCTGGTTTGTAATTAAAGAAAGTACCGGCTCGCAGCCATCGGATGATCCGCCGGACTTTGATGCATTAAACCGACTACAAGCCGCATTATTTCCGCACACAGGGTGTCTCTGGATTCTCTAATAATTTTTTTTGTCTGGCTAAAATTAGATTTTCCATCGCTAACCAGCACAGTGTGACCGAAGGTCGACATCACCCGACCCACTTATTATTAGAAACATTTTGTTAAGGCAAATTCTGCTTGTTCGATGGTCGAAGGTGCGCTCGGTACTTTCCCACTGCGTGTCCGAATTGTTTACCAATCGTTTATGCGCTAAGTGGCAACAGTCCGATGCAAATCGCTCGAGAGTTCGGAGTGTTAAAGCTCAAGTTCGCCCAAAACTTTGAGACAATGAGCGAGGAAGCGGAATGGTATCATTCAGTGAAACTTGTAAGTCGCTGGGTTTATGGGAATTGGGTTATTTGGGAAAATCACTTAAAGATAACACGATCAAATCAGTAGTTTATGGGCCTGTGCGCTCTAATGATTCAGTTTTCCTGGCAATCAAGTGTGTATGTGCCACTTCTGACTGAAGACCGCATTTATTAATATAAAAAACTGTTCCCACTCCCGCTCATTGAAGAGTGCCGCATCAACTTGACTCAACCGTTTAGCAAACATCTTCAGGAGGTACAATTCTCTTTAAAATATTCCCGGCAATTTCCAGACACCCTGTACAGCAAAAAAGCATAAACTTATTCACGCAATTTTATTGTTAATATACGATTTATCACTCCATTTCAACATTACACCATTCGGTCGGTTGCAAGCGAAAGTAATAAGTTTCACCTTTTCGTAATGCTTCCGGCAACTGTTGCGCAAAATGAATAATTCAAATGAGTAAAACTGGATGATTCCACTGGTTTGTAGCTGCAAAGACTGGGCTACAAAATGGCCAGCAAAAGAAAGGAAGCGACTGCGAGCGGGCCGAACAGCAACGGAAACATAGTACAAAGCGTTGCAAATAGCAAAGCGCCCACCAATGAGGCGCAGAAGAAGCAGCGGGAAAAGGACCGGGTTGAACGGGAGAGTATCGTCCTATGGAAAAAGCCCGTCCAGACTATGGAGTATTTTTTAAGGGAGTGTCTGGAATTGGGCACGCACTATGGTAGAAAGTAAGTGACCCGCACTCACCCGGGGAAGAAAAGTTGAAACGCGTTTTTTGCAGCTTTTTAGCAAATAGGACTCTAGTCGCTCTGTTGGGGATCTCAGTATTATCGTTATATTTATTAGTTAACATGCAAGGGCCGCACCACGCCGCTGTCCAAGGTGTATATAGGAAAGTGCTGTGGTGCCTCTATTGGACGGGATTAGGCAAGCTTGAGCCAGCGATTGAGGTAGCAACCCCCATCTAACGCACAGTGTTGCAGGTATTCTGTCCTCAGTGGGCTTGGGCACGGGGCTTCACACGTTTCTCTTATACTTGGGGCCTCACATCGCGGCAGTCACATTGGCCGGCTACGAATGCGGCAGCCTCAACTTCCCCGAGCCGCCGTACCCTGAAGAGTAAGTAGCCCCGCTTTTTGCGCCCGGCCGTTTCATCCCCAAGCTTTTCCAGCATTGTGTGTCCGGCCGAAGGCGAAGGAAGCACGCTTCCAGTGACTATTCTAGCCATTATGTCCAAAGTGCGGCTGGAAGCAATGTGCTGGGGGGCCGGCACCGCTCTCGGCGAGCTGCCGCCCTATTTCATGGCAAAGGCCGCGCGCCTATCTGGGTATGTAGCTCGTAAGTCGCGCACTTTGGTTGCCAACATCAAACCTTGCTCACAGATTGGAGCCGGAGGACGAGGACGATGACCTGAAAGAGTTCGAGGAGCTCCAGAAGAAGCAGCAGAACCGGGAAAAGCTCTCGATTCTCGACAAGGGCAAGCTTTTCGTGGAGCAACTGGTGCAGAAAGTCGGGTTCTTTGGCATCCTGGCTTGCGCCAGCGTAAGTCGCTTTGCATCCCATTGCCGCTCAGTGTTCACTCTTGGCTCCACAGATCCCGAACCCGCTGTTTGACCTCGCGGGCATCACATGCGGCCATTTCCTGGTGCCATTCTGGACCTTCTTCGGCGCGACCCTGATCGGCAAAGCCGTCATTAAGATGCACATCCAGAAGCTTTTCGTCATTATTGCGTTCAATGAGACGCTGATCGAGACGGCCATCCACTACCTGGTGTTGGTGCCGGTGATTGGCCAGAAGCTTCAGGTGCCCTTCAAGGCCTTCCTGGACGGCCAGAAGAACAAACTGCACAAGAAGGCCACCAAAAGCGTGAAAGAGGCGGGCGGCAACATTCTGGCCGCCGTTTTCGAAAAGTTCGTCATAGTCATGATCATCTACTTTGTGATTTCGATAGTGAACTCTTTCGCCCAGAGCTACCACAAGCGGATACACAAGAGGAAGAACAGCAAGAGCAAGGATTGATTGTCTTTTCACCCGCTTACAATGTAAATATCGAAACTTTCGCAATGTCGAGTGCGCCCGGAATTTTGCTCTAGGAACGTGTGTGTGTTATCAATTTAAAAACCTTATCATTCCTATTTATTAAACAACCAAGCCGTAGACGTAAACGATTCCCTTTTTAGTGTTTAATGCTAATTACCTGTAATTTGGTAGGTTTAAGTTAGCCAATTCGTAGCGTACGTGAGAATAGTTTGTGATGCAATTGAGTTTTTTATATCATGTTTGTGATATTTCCTCCCATCGTGCTGGCACGCATGAGCAGTTGGGGGCTGAAGTTCGTCTTAATGAATAACTTACTCCCAGCTCGGGTGTAAGTCGAAGGAATTAAAGCAATTATTTCCAATCCAATGTGGTGTTTTCTTAATCACAGCGTGTGGACTAATCGGGTTGGAACGTAAAATCTGGATCGCGGCTCTTTGCTACCAGTGTTAAGAGATTTTTCATTTTTTGCAAAGTGCGTGACTTTTAACGCAATTGCCAGTTTTGTAGGACCAAAAAGCGATTGCTGTTGTGTTTAGGACCAAGTCTCTGTAATGGAAAAGTTAAATCACCTTTGCATTGGCACTTTTCACTGGAAAACGCACTTTTTTCATTTTGACAGGTCAAAATAGAATGACTGATGTTAATGACATTTTTCCCAAACAGCCCCGTGTGCTGATTTTTTAGAGACAAACATCAATCTATCTCTGTCCGCCTTATGCAGATAAAGCAGGAAAGCAGTGTTAAACTAAGATATTATATACCTAGGACGAGAAGGAAGGTACCGAAAACTGATATAATGTGCCCCAGGCATTTAATAGTCTTCTCGGCCGAAGTGTGTACAATTTTTTAGCAACGCGGATAATTGATTCAATTAGATTTTGCATTTTCCCTTAACTTCCTGGTGCCGCCATCTTTGATGGCCTGACGTTCAGTTGTCAAAAAGCCGCAATATGACCTATCGGTCTCCAAAAAACTGAAAACTTGAATATCCAAAAAATTAGTGAATCTCCGAAGCATCAGTTGTTTAGAAGTGAAAATGGATGGATGACCTCAGGTTAGTAGAAGAAAAAAAAACAATTATTGAGTTACACTCTACATATAACGAATCAGCCATAAACCTTCCATTAATTATAGTAATACTAAAACCCTATTAACAGTGGGGCAAATAGTTAATAAACCCGCACTACTACTCGCTTAACAAGCAATTCACCCTCTATTTGTCCTAACTAACTAGCTGTGAGCCCGCCCCTAGCCGGGCGGGGCTCAATCTTAACCGCACTAAAACTACAATTCAGAGAACCTAAAGTCTTATGTTTAAATTGTGTTCAGGCCGCAACAATAAATAGTTGAAATCTAGTATTTCCCCACGCAGGCCTCCTCAACACTATTCCTAATTAGGAACTGTTTTTCTCGGTTAATAAATACATTCATCCCTAAAATTAAGTACAGAAAAAATACCTACGAAAACGCGGCTGGGCAACTCGGTGCCCCCTAGCGGAAGTTCTCCACCCGCCCCCCAAAAGCATCGGTCATATCACCTGTTGATGTCGAAGTTGTTCAACTCCAGGCGCAGATTTTCCCCATTTTTGTCATCTGGCGGGCTTTTGCTGATGCCGAACGCGTTGAAGCCGCTGTAGTTGACCGACATGTCCCCATTGCCCATCGAAATGTTGACGGACTTGGTGGGCGAGTCCATGATGGTGACTGAGGCGTCATCAAACGGTATGTCCGGGATGTTCAGCTGCGAGCTGGCCATGTCGTAGCTGCTTCTGTTGTTGCTGACCGACTTGAAGGTGTCGCTCTTGGTGGGGCTGGACGCGTTCTCCGTTGAGCAGAAGTCGAAACTCTCCCGGGAGAAGTACCCGGTTTCATGCTGGCGCAGCGGGGAGGGCATTTGGTGGCTGGGCGTGCTGTACTGGTGGTTCGGTGTGGCCAGCAGATGCGTGGGGGTGGTGAAAGCCGAATTGGGGCAGGAGCTCACCGCATCGTCAAACAGCTTGTTAAGCACGTGGTTCTTGTCGAACTTCTTCTCCTTTTCGATGACGATTTCGGCATGGCACTCGGGAGCGGGGCTCAGCGGACTGGCTGCGTCCTTGAAGTCCGAAGTCAGCAGCGGCCACTTGCGGTCCTTGTTCAGGTCGCGCTCAATCGCCAGGTACTTCTTCTTGGACTTGTCCACGTTGTGGAACTTGAAGCGCAGCCTCTTGAGCAGCAACTGCTCGATAATCACGTACTCGACGAAAATACTACTCAGAAAATTGGCGACCGCGTAGCCTGCTATGTAGAAGCGAAACAGCATGGAGTCGGGCATCACGAGCCCCATGTAGTTTTGGACGACTGTGGCCGGGCAGAGGGCCAGATACGTTGAGACGACCGTCACGCCCAGAGTGCACAGGACGAAGCCGCGGTTGGTGAACATGGATTTTCTGTACGGGTATCCCTTGGAAAACACTATGGCCAGGATGATGTACTGGAAACTGCTCATGGTGAAGATGGTGTAGTTTTCCAAGCAGGACACATTGTCGGAGGCCTTGAGGAAGGGGACGAACCACGGCTGGGCCTTCAGGTGCAGAAAGGCGGCCGTTTGGAAGAACACAATCAGGCAGGTGTGGATGGCCAGCGAGGCGATCTGCGAGAGGCTGACCAACCCGGTGAGGGGGGCGTGCCGATGCAGTTTGCCGGGGTAGGACTCGGTGCGACCGAAGAAAAACGCCACCGTGGAAATGATGCAAAGATCGCTGTACAAAAACTGCGTGTCGGTCAGATTGGACTCCAGGGAGTAGAGAATGAGCACGGCAACGAACTGGCAGAGCGAGTAGCTGGCCATGTACTTGAAAATGCCAAAACTGGTCACCAAAGCGGCCCGCCCCTCTCTGATCACCTCCAGTACGCAGGTGATGTTCGGGTTTTTTGAGGTGAAGGGCGAGGCCACGCTGGACTCGGCCTCGGACAGCGAAATGCCGGTGTTGGCCGCTTTGAGGGCGCCGCAGTCATTAGCTCCATCCCCGCACATGGCTGAAACACACAATTGTATATACTTTCCTGACTGTGTTTCAATTTATTTATCAATTAAAATGGGTTTCGGTGTATTTTTCCACCATCATCAGTTTTTATGTGTAGCGTTGTTGCTGCTTTAAGCCTTGGCATGCATTTTTTGCCGAGCAAGAAAATGTGCTGCGTTCCAAATTGTTGTTGGCTTAGAAAGTCTAATGAAAGCATCGATTTTCATCGGTAAATCAGCACAGTGAACGCCCTAAATATTCGAAAGCAAACTCCAAAAGCTAAATGCGTTTATGAATTCGCTGGCAACACCATTAGCAGGTTTGGATTCAAGGATGCGGCGCTAAACTCTTCAAAAAACGGTTCAATAATTAGTACTTCAATTAAGCCACTGTACTCAACGTGTGCAATAAGCGAAAATAGTGCATAATGGGCAGTAACAGCATCGGTTCGATCCTCTTCGGGAGGAAGAGGGAACCCAATCTGAAGACGCTGGAGCAAATCGAGGTTCTCCTTGGAGATTTGTAGTGTTACATTTATTATTATTGTATATGCTTTCTTGACTGTGTTTCAATTTCAAATCAAATTCAGTCCGGGGTTTCAGTCATTTTTTGTCTCTATTTATCAATAGAAATACGTTTCGGTGTATTTTTCCACCATCATCAGTTTTTATGTGTTGCGTTGTTGCTGCTTTAAGCCTTGGCATGCATTTGGAGTATTAATTTTGTCCATTATCGGACACAAAACGAATCTTTCCGTTCGAAAGATTCGTTTTGTGTCCGATAATGACCTGACTCAACCCATACAACACTCACCAACATAGTAGCCCAGGCCTTGCAGCTCTTGAACCAGCTGCTGCTTCTGATCGGGGGCCATTCGCGCGAACACCGTCCCTGCAAACACACACGTGTAAAAGTGCGCAATACTTCCACAAGCTAGCAAATCACCTCGAGTACAAATCCTGGGCATCAGCTCTGGATAGTGCTCCTTGATCACGGCCCACGTCCTTCCAGTCATAGCAAATCGGTAGTTGTTCATCAAGCCGTCCGGCCGGAGCGTTGCGTCGTTCCCGCGTCTGGCCGCGCCCAGGGACGCAGTCTGTAGCTGACTTTCCAGCGTTTCCAAGCTGGCGACGCTGGCCGAGTTGGACATCACCGAGAGATCTACACAATACAGTTTGTCAGGATTTTACCATGCAACGCGCAGGCTACAGGATGTAGCTTGCCTCCAACGCTTACCTTTAGGAGCTTTGCCGCGGTCCTTCGTGTTGGTTAAAGTGTAGTACAAGTTGGGCGGACTGCTGTTGTCGCTGTTCACAGTGATAATCGTCTGGCTGGGCAGCACAATGTCGCAGTCCTTGGCCACTGAGATGGCCGTCAGGATATTGTCGCCTAAGCACCGAAAATGCACTCAATTTTGAGCAATTTTGCACCCAAGTTCTAGTACCTGTGACCATTATGACGCGGATGTTGGCCTCGTTCAGGTCCTGGATCGAGGGGAAAGTCTCCGGCTTCAGCCGGTTCTCCAGCACGATCAGTCCCAAGAAGTTCAGCTCGTTTTCGATGGCTTCCCTCTGGACTTTTTGCACCTGAATGGCCCAATGAAAAATCAGGGACATTCACAGGAAACCTCATTTTCAGCACAGTACCTTTGTGTAGCCAAGCCGTAGTTCTTTGTGCGCCATCGCAATCACCCGATAGCCCTCCTGCGTGTAGCTTTCCAGAATCTCGTGAAAGTTGGCCGGGACCGTTTCCGCTTTGACAAAGTTCAGGATCATTTCCGGGCTCCCTTTGCAGTAGTACTCGAAGTGGGCGCCGTTCAGGCGTCTGACGATCACGCCCATGCGCTGAGAGCTGCTGGAAAACGGAAACTCCCGCAGGATTCCTAAAAGACCACGCCAGATAAGCGCCCACTCAAGGAACATTAGGGAAAAGCATTACCGATTTGGGGGTCCTCACTGAGATTCTGATTGGGGCCGCTCCTGTTCTTGGGCGGCTTGAACACAGTGGGGAAGAGTACATTGAACTTGTTGTTCTCGGCGAGGCCGCTCATCTCCTCCATGGCCCACTTGGTGGACTCGAACATCTAGAAAATTATTTAGTCAGTTCCGCAGCCCTTCGCAGCGCAGAAGCCTTGAGGTACCTTCAAATCCAGCGGGTCGCCCACGATCTGATTGTCGATGATGTTGAGGGAATGGCAGCAAACCAGTCCATAGAGGAAGGTGTCGAATCGCATGGCTTCCACGTTGGAGACGGGGGTGATGAAGGAGGCGGCCTGAGTTGGAACCACGCAGAGCAGATCCAGCCCGTCTTCAGTCAAAGTGCCGGTCTAGAACACACTCTATGGCACCAACTGTCGGGACTTCCAGTCTAATCTAAAGCTACCTTATCGAAGCACACGCAGTTGATGCTGCCCGCGACGTTGATGGTCCTGGGCGAAATACAGAAGATGTTCTTCTTCCGAAGCGCAACTTGCGCAAACAGACTGCCCACGGTCATAGCGGCTGGCAAAGCGGGCGGCACCACGATAGTCACCAGATCGAGAGCTTGGAAGATTATGTCCCGAAGCAAGACGCCCCGTATGATCTGAAATCCTCCAATCACAAAACGGATTTTTTCCACCAGAAGGTGCTCACCTTGGCGACGACGGTGTAGAGAAAGCCCACCAGGGCGAAACCCGATAGGACTCCGATGAACTTGTAACTATCCTTCTCAAAGCGAAAGTCCACAGGCGGCGGATATAGGATGCTTCGGACCAGATTCCCTAGAATACGGAGGTTGGAGGGTTTTCTCCCGATCAGACCCAAGCCTTACCTTTCGAGGTCATATACCCGGTGCGGATGACCAAGGCCAGAACTTTCTCGTTGTTGAAATAGCGCGTCTGGATCACATGCGTGCCACAAAAGAGCGTGTGCCTGGCATGCTCCTTCGGGTCGTAGATGATGCTGGGGAAGTTGGGAAGGCCCGTTTTGGTCACCGGAACGCTCTCCCCTGGAAAACGAACACACTCTTAGCCCCCGGAGGGTTTGGAGGCCGTAGTAATCTACCTGTCAACATTGCTTCGTTGAGGATGCAGTTTCCGGTCAGTAGGACTGCATCGCAATGCATAATGCAGCCGTGAGACGGGATTTCGATTATATCGCCGGGCACTAGGAGATTGGTGGACACCGCCTCCTCACTACACCCGTTCTCGTTCAATTCGTTGAACTCGGCTGTTTTGGGAGTACGACGCAACACAGTGCAAACATCGCTCGAATGCACTGTTGATTTCAAGTTTCTCTGGTTCTGCAACGCACAAGTTAAACATTATCGAATGGATCGCCGTCTTACGAACGGAGGACGAATTGACAGATCTCCAACCAATAGAAACACTTTCGTACCATCGTATCATCGTACAAACGGATGCATGGGACACATGCTTTAGGCATACTGAACCGTTTAATTTTCTGAACCGGCTTAAAGCCCGTGTCCCATGCATCCGTTTATACGATCGTACGATGATACGAAAGTGTTTCTATTGGTTGGAGATCTGTCAATTCGTCCACGTCGTACGACGACAGACGAATTGACAGATCTCCAACCAATAGAAACACTTTCGTACCATTGTATCATCGTACAAACGGATGCATGAGACACGGGCTTAAGTCCCTACAATTGGTAAAGGTTGTTTTTAAAATGTTCCCTAGAATTGGCGTCTTTTAGGGTGGGGATCACACCATCCAAAGCCCAAAAAAAATCCGCTTGATATAAACAAAAATCCCGCAATCTCTATACATTTATTCAAGGGCTTCGCCCCCTCGGTTTTTTCAGTTTTTTTGCACAATCACTTTCCTTCAACTCAGGAAATCACGAACTGCGATTCAATGCAGTGCGCTGCTCAAGACTGGCCAGCACGCTCAAGTTCTGCGGTTCTTTGCGTGTTTTTCTGAGAATTTTCACTTGGGCTGGCTTGTACGCCACTGCGCCCGCCTGGAATCCTCCAAGGCACGCCACTGGAGTGACGGAAGGCAACGTGGGCGGTTGGGCGCAGTTGGCATCTGGCACAAACTTAGCTGAAACAACTGACATTCCACACTGTCATCTGTCAAATCTCGGACTGGAGTATTACCTCTCACAGGGCTGTAGCCCAGGTCGGCCAGCGACGGCCCTTGGAGTGAGGGGGGGCGCCTGGAGGCCTCCTCTGATAGGCCCAAATCCAGTAGTTGGCTGACAGCCTCCTCCGAAAGGTCGTCGTTCTGTTGACTAGGCTGCAGTTCCACTATTTGCCCATTGAGGGCGTAGATGTTCTCGTCTTGGGAAGGGGGGCTTTTGGTCGGCTGCGCCGGTTGGACGCATGGACTTTCCACTGGAAGGGTGCGGAAGCCGTAGAAGAGCCGATCGTCCCCCACCCGCGGCTCCTGCGCCTGCCGGAAGGCCACAGCTAACGAGACTGCATCTGCAGCCGCTGGCGCGCTGTTTCCGGTTTGGCACAAGTCAATGCCCTGCCAGTTTGAGGGTTGACCTCTCGACTTGGATGACAACAATGGGTTGAAGCCTTCGGCGGGCGGCAACACTGCCGGTCTCACCAGAGTCTGCGTCCTAAACAGTGCCCCACCCTCTAACTCTCTCCCACTTTGTCACGCAGAAACCCTACCTAGCTCCATCCTTGTCAAGGGCGTAGCTATTCAGAGGCAGGATGATGGGGGGTCGTTGCCATGTCTTCGCTTTGATCGTCTGGGGGACCCTAGATGGCGCAGCCGCTCCATCACTCGGCTGACATTCCCCGTCAGTCTGGAAGGAAACCGTTAAAAATGGCGGCTGGGGCGCAGCCCAAACTTACAGTGCACCAAACACCGAAAATGGCAACCAAAGCGAGGCGACTCCACATTGTTTCGCTGTAAAACCCACTTGGTTGGACTGTTTTTATAGTTGCGGGAAATTGTTTAAACATTTGAAGTTCAAACAAAAGCTTGGTGCGTCAATGAACTGGGCGTGGTTCAAAGATGAGTGTTCCGGC